ATATATAGTTGTAATTGGTCTCACCTGGTGAAGGCACACGCAGGTAAATTAAGTGTAATAATTCAATTGTCATATTTTTTTCACAAAGAAATAATTGCTTTTCAAACGAGCACATCCATTTTTTTAAATTATAGTTTTTAGAGACAGCGTGACTTAAGTCTTAAGAACAACAATGAACAAGTGAAGACCAGCCTTATTTGTGTTGACACAAATATTGCACATTTCGCATGTCTTTCTATTTTTGGTGTGTGAGTGCGGCTGTTTTGTGTGTGTGTGTGAGAGGGTTGTGAGAGAGAGAGAGTGTGTGTGTGAGAGAGAGAGAGAGAGAGAGTGTGTGTGACACCACTAGACATGCGGTTGACTCTGTCTAAGATTTGTATGACGCTTCACTTCTAGATTAACAGACGATTTCAGTATACACAAAAATACTGAAAGCGTCTGTTTGCTGTGTATACAACCGCTGCTCTAAGTAAAGAACGACCTAGCAATTATTGCGCCGCTAACTATTTTTATTCTTTCTATGTAAAATAAGAGAGCTGTGTGCAAGTTCAATTTTTCTTATTCAAATATCACAAATTGTTTTCAAACTAAATTTATTGATTCTTGTTTTGCTGACAAAATTCTAACGTGTCTTAGAAAAGCTAACTCTTAAGCAATAAATAAAGGTAGACAAGCGAGAAATCGGATTTGGCTTTTTTATATCCTTGTTATTCCCCTTCTTCAATTTTGACTGAATGTTGAATTTTTCATTATTCTATAAGTATGACATTTATATGCAGTAGCGAATTAAGGTGGAAGCTGAGAGGACTGCAGCCGGGGGCCCCCAATTTTTTTAGGCCCCCAAATTTCCTCTCACAAATCATAGTAAATTTCAATTTTACAAAAAAAAAAAAAAAAACAATACACCATAAGCTTATTAATTTTTAACGCAATTTCCATTCTGGAGAATTGCGTTTATTAACCCGTCATTTCTGGATGTATGAATGGATGAATGGATGGATGGATGGATGTGTGTCCGCAGCTTTAAGTCGTATCTCCTCCTCAACAAAGCAGTATCGATGACTAGTTCCAAAAGCAATTATGTTAAGCAAGTTACGAGGATGAATATAGGCCATAAAAATTCCGGGTTTCTTTCATGGATTTCCCGGAAAAGCCAAAAAACCTCGAAAAAAAGCAGTTTTTGGCCCATATCTCGGCAACCAGACCACTTAGCGACTTGAAATATGTACCAATCGATTCCTGCCATAATTTAGAACAATATTGCCGAAGAAAGTTTTCAAAAATATCCTTTCGTTCGGTCACAAAAAAAATTTTGAATTAATTAAAATTTGGACCGATTTAGTAGGCATATTTTATTTATCCAACCACACCACACGCGTCATCACGTTCAATAGCTGCGCCATCACGTTCAATGGCTGCGTCATCACGTTCAGTAGGCGCGCAATGGTTTTTAGTCATGTAATTCTATTGTAAATAAAACATGTAAAATACTGAAAAAAAAATTAATAAAAAACGTTTTAATAAATAACCAATGGTTTTACTAACCCTGCTCTTGATTTACGCTACGACAGATCTATTTTTAGATAACGTAAGGAAATTGCGCTTAAATGTCACTAGACTTTTTAATTAACTTGTTTTTTAAATATCTTATATACGGGCACAAACTTTAGTATGAATACCAGCTGTCATCCTACTCAGACATTGTTCGTATAAAGCCGGGTCCCTAAAATAACATTGCCTGTACCAGCAATTCTGACAAATAAGTTTTAGGCATAATATTGACACCCCCCTCCACACCCTTCAAAAAGAAACCAGTAGTTGAAATTTATATCATCAGTTCGGTAGCACCGTGGTAACCGAAATATTTTTATTCAAAATAATGCAATCAGAAAATTTCACGTGCACCCCCTTGTGAGGGGGGATGGTTTCGATGCTTCTCCGTTGCTCTACCAGTTCTGAGGGTTGGGATAAATAGCAACCACCCAGATGTGAGAGTGGGGTTATAAAGATAATACCAGCCTGGTTATAGTTTGGAATTAACACACACAAGTCCAATCCAAAAAATAAATGTCCTTTATTAAACAATCAAATTAATTCCCTACCAAACTAGCCTATTCTATACCCTCTACTACAGTGGTTCCCAACCTTTTTCGAGTGGCGACCCCCTTTTATAAAAAGTAAGTGACCCGCGACCCCCATAGAATTAAAAAGCCGAAATTAGTAGGGAAAATAAGCACTAAAATAAGATTTTCTAGTACACTTTCAATATGAACTACTCTTGATAACTGTTTTAATAGCATGAGTAAAATTGCATACTATTCACTAAACCTTCGTGGTTATTTAACATTTACGTACATGATGAGATTTTCTCTTATTTTTTTTTTTTTTTTTTTTTTGCTTGGAATTTTCTATCGCGACTTCATTTGATGCTTGCACTAATGCTGGTGAAAACTTCCTGTTCGATCAAGTCTCTGGCGTTTGCAACTAGCTTCTTACCGACGAAAGAACTCCATGTATTTTTTGGTGTGTTCCGAATGACTCTTCTCAAATGACGTTTTAGTTTTGAAGATTTCATTGATTCGTGACTGAGAACAACTTTGTACAGTGCACTTTGTTTCTTCTCTACTATATTTCCAGTGATGTTAATGAAGCCGAATTAAAAAAATGCTTCTAAATATTTATGTTTTGTTTCAAATTACTAAGGTTTAGTATACCAGTTGGCGACCCCCCAGAAAGACCTTCGCGACCCCCAGGGGGGTCGCGACCCCCAGGTTGGGAAACCGTGCTCTACTACTACTGTCTACCGTTTCCTAGATCTACCTAATTACGACCGCCTCTAACCGATACCTCAGAGGCGTAGCGAGGGGGGGGGACGCACCGGGTGACACCATTTAGGGGGGTGACACCAAGGCAAAAAATAGCAAAATATATAGAGAAAAACTTTAGGGGGGTGCAAATCGAAAACTTGAGGGGGGGGTGCGAATCGAAAATTTGAGAGGTGGTGCAAATCAAAAGTTTGAGAATGGGGGGTGCAAATCAAAAAATTTGAAAGTTTGTCGCCGGGAAGGGTCGCTACGCCTCTGGGGGGGGGGGGGGGGGTGACACCATTAAGTGCCGCACCGGATGACACCCGACCTCGCTACGCCACTGCGATACCTAACACCTTCTCTCTCTTCGCTAGCTACCTATCAACTGTTACCTAGCCCTAAACATCTCGACCGTCTCTAACACCTAACACTAAGTCCGCCGCTGATCTCACTACTGGCCCACGCCTCAGTGGTCAGCTGACCGTCCCACGTGACCGGTCAGCTCCTGTACGTCCATTGGTCTCTCTACCCAACTATCTTTAGTCTGTTTCTGCTAACCTCTATCTAATTGACCTAACCTTGCGTCATCACCCCCCCCCCCCTCCCCAACCCCGAAGAAAAAAGTCTGGAAGAAACAATGATTCTATTGAATCCAAAGAAGCAGAATGCACATTTTTTTAGCGCAATTTCCATACTGGACAATTGCGATTATTTCTCTTTTTAGCGCAATTTCCATACTGGGATTGCGATTATTAACTCGTTATTTCTGGATGGATGGATGAATGAATGAATGGATGTGTGTTCGCAGCTTTACCGCAGCTTTAAGTCGTATCTCCTCCTCAACGAAGCAATATCGAGGACTAGTTCCAAAGCAAATATGTTAAGCAGGTTACGAGGATGATTGTGGGCCAAAAATATTCCCGGAATTCCTTCTTGGATTTCCCGGAAAAGCCAAAAAACCTCGGAAAAAATGCAGTTTTTTGCCCATATCTCGGCAACCAGACCACTTAGCGACTTGAAACATTTACCAATCGATTCCTGCCATAATTTAGAACAATATTGCCGAAGAAAGTTTTCAAAAATATTCTTTCGTTCGGTCACAAAAAAATATTTACTACTTTTTTAAACTGAGCATCGTGTAGGCCTACTCGTTAAAATAAAACTATTTCCGTTGATATAGGTTAATATAGTTGTCTTTTTTTTAGCGCAAAAAAATATCCTTTCGTTTGGTCACACAAAATTAAAAATTGTTATGGATAACATAAGGAAATTGCGCTTAAATTGTCACTAGACTTTTTATTAACTTGTTTTTTCTTCATGTCCTTAAAGTCCTTATAGTAGGTCGTTGAGACCAGTTCGTTAAGTAGGTCAAGATACCCAGACACTGAGTCTAATAGCTATACTCTTGCCGGAAATTCTTTCATTTTAAATATTTTTAGCATAGGATACGGCACTAGCTCTCTAGTAAAGCTTTCAATGTAATCGTGCTAATGTTAAAAGTTGATTACATTGATTGGACAACGGACATCTAATTAAAGCTAACGACGCAGCTTAATCTTTCCTTGTTTATCTTTGAGCTACTATACTAGCCATAGTTCAAGTCTACAGACCAACCATAACCAACCAGTCTACAGACCAACCACAACCAACCAGTCTACAGACCAACCATAACCAACCAGTCTACAGACCAACCACAACCAACCAGTCTACAGACCAACCACAACCAACCAGTCTACAGACCAACCACAACCAACCAGTCTACAGACCAACCACAACCAACCAGCCTACAGACCAACCAACCACAACCAACCAGTCTACAGACCAACCAGCCTACATACCAACCACAACCAACCAGTCTACAGACCAACCACATGCACCCAGTCTACCAACCTTAAAAAAAAGCACACCAAGACTTAGTTTAGGTACAACCACCCAGTCTACCAACCATAAAAGGAAAGCACACCAAGACTTAGTTTAGGTACAACCAACCAGTCTACCAACCATAAAGAAAAACACACCAAGACTTAGTTTAGGTACAACCACCCAGTCTACCAACCATAAAGAAAAACACACCAAGACTTAGTTTAGGTACAACCAACCAGTCTACCAACAATAAAGAAAAACACACCAAGACTTAGTTTAGGGACAACCAACCAGTCTACCAACCATAAAGAAAAACACACCAAGACTTAGTTTAGGTACAACCAGCTTACAATTTATTTTCTGGACTGTGACACAAGAAACCAAAAATATCAAGGATTCTCAAGACATCAAGAAATCAGGACAGACTCACACAAACCAAATGACACGTGGAACTAAGGTCTTCTTAGTTCTGTTACACCTTCACACAAGCAAATAAAGCATCTATTTAAATTGTATGCTATTTTTTTAGCATATATGTACTTTATGCTACTTTTTTTTTAAGCAGCAATGTACATTAAATTAAAAATCAAATTCCCAAAATATAATTTCAGCACTATAATTGTACAAAGTAACAACAAAACAATAATATTTTTTTGGTTTAAACCATTATGTGGTACTGTACTGAACTTTTTTGTTTTGTAGATTAGGCTGCATGTACAAAGTTTATAGGAAAAGGCATACTTCAATTAGATTATGCCCACTATCTTTAAGATCTATAAATAAACACATGGCACATCCAATACCATTTATATAAACTTAATAAAAAATGAATCAAAACTAATTCATCAGGATATATGGATTGATATTTCTCGATAAAAAAATTTATACTTCGAAAATTATCTAATTTTTGCCTTTAACTCAATAGTAGCTTATCTAAGCATTTCTTCAATTACTACTGCAAATATAAGTGGTAATTCCCTAAAAGATAACTAGTAATTCCCTATAAAATACAACTATAAATAGAAATACTTGATTGTATGTGTAGCACCCACATGCATACTGTGTCACAGATACTGGGACAAAAGCGTGACATAACACATTTATAATTAGAAACAATAATGAGCCATGTTCCATTGTTAGCTACAATATGCTGCAGCATCAGCCTTCAAGTACACAATCCACATAGCAAAGACCCTCTGTAAACTATAGCATACACCTCAAGATTGTTGTAGCTGGGAACTAACAATATGCTGCAGAATAGAATTTGAACATAGCATTTATCAGATGCACAGTAGACTTCACTAGACCTATACTATATTAGCAAAGACCTACATTAGACTAGCAAAGACCTACACTAGAATGGTACAGACCTACATTAGACAAGGAAAGACCTACACTAGAGTAGGAAAAGGCCTACACTAGACTTGAAAAGACCTCACTAGAATAGCAAAGACCTACAATAGACTAGCAAAGACCTACACTAAAATAGTAAAGACCTACACTAAAATAGTAAAGACCTACACTAGACTAGCAGAAAAGACCTACACTAGTCTAGCAAAGACCTACACTCGACTATATAATAGATCCACTTTACTCCATGCATACAATAGACTATAGCATAGACGTACACTACATGACAGCATACACCACAGTATGCTGCAGCTTAGACCTACTGTATGCTGCAGAAGACATTAAATTGTAGAACAGAAGTAGAGAAAATCAGTTTGGTTACCTCAAACAGGGTAATAAACTAAACAAAGTGTGCAATTATTAGTAGAGTATCTTGTTTACTCCACATTAATTAATTAAATAAAAATTTATGCAAATCATTAACAACTCCAGCTTAATGAAATAAGTATTTAAATAAATGACAGTAAAAAAAAAATATTGACAAATCCTTAGTTTAAAGATGAGATGATTATGTAAAAATACAGAATAATTTATCTTCTGCTAAAAGGCAAACAAGATGAAATAGTTGTGATAAAAAGAAAGTTTTACAGTAATAACTAGTTGTATAGTGAAATTTAAAGATCAACTTCAAGATCTCAAAACAGACAATATAATTGTAAATTTCTTACCAAAAAATCCAGGTGATTAAAAAAAAAACTTTTTTACACAAATCACAAAATCAGAATCTGATATAAAAATGCCTTGTATTGGCACAAATGTACAAGTTGTGTACATAAGGTTATATATTTGTACAAAATATACTAAAACAGTTATTAACTTCTTAAATAGCACACACTAAAAAATTCCAGATTTATCTACATAAAAAAATTTATAAAAATCTTTTAATTTCAAGGCAGAAACAAAATATATTTCTATATTAATAAGTTCAAAGTAGTGATAACATTTCTGCCTAAAATTTTACCTTTATTATCAATAAGAAAAAAAAAGATTTACATAAAGTGTACATACATATATTTTACTCCACCATGAAACTGATTCAAAGATGTTATACATATTAATTAACTAACACCCTAACTAAGAGGGGAAATAACTTTACATAATTTAAAACATGGATTATTTCCCTTTGATCAGTAGAAATTGGTATCTCAAATAAATATGTAAACAACATACAATTATATATATATAACACAGCCCTGAATATCATCAGATCCTCTTTCAGACCATTTTTTCTTGTTGTTTTGTACCATAATATTTTGTTCTGAAACAAAGCCTAACTTAAATTTTTCAATTGATGTTTACATCAACTAAAGCCTACTTTAAAACCAATCAGTCCAGTTGATGTAATTTTATCACCAACATAATGCCTAACAACCTGTCAGCATGTCATTTTTTTTTATAATGCATTCAATAATTCAACACATATGCCATCTCTAGATAATACAAGCAGGTTTGTATGATGTTCACTTACTTTACCTAGGGCTGTGAAAATGGTTAGCCTTGCTTCAGACATATAACACAATGGACCACATTACAATATTTACACATAAAATTTACATCTCAAAACAATTTTTTTTTCAATTTAAAAGTTTCAAATTTTTTGTTCCTTAACAAAATTAATAATGCTTATATTCATTCATATGTAAGTTACAGCAAGTGTAAGTTTAACGCACAAAAAAAAACAAGTGTTTGCCATTAGCTACAACAAAAACAGTTACCATAGTAACGGAATGTATTTTTACACAAGTCAAAATTACTGTGATGGAGCTGACAATTTAAAAAACAAAAGAAATCTGCAATAGATGATTTAGCTGAATGCACATTCACTACTTATTGAGTATATTAGGTGTTTTAGTCATATAAAAAAAATCCATCAAGTTGATAGTAATAAATCATGTTGACAAACACCAACAGTGTTGATAAAAATGGTGATAAAGCTTATAAAAAGGCAGAAGCTAGGCCAAGGTGTTCTCATGTACATATGCTAAGTTGTGACACCAATTAGGAAAATTGCAGTAAAAATCATGGTAGGATGGTGACACAATGAGATGGATGCAGGTAACAGATCCTTGTCAAACTTACAAATGGTGGTGGAAGTTGACTGAAGTTCTAATAAGCTGTAATATTTATGGTCTTTAAGAAGAAAACACTTTAATTTAGCTTTGGTGTTTTACCAAAACAAAAAAAAAAAACTACGCCAAGCTAATGACAGATAGATTGAAACAAGATTACTGTCATAATTTTCAACATTAAAACACTGAAAAAGTGAATGTTGAAATGTGCTTGTGAAAAACTAACAGATATCCAGGAGCACAATTCTGCAACCGGCTAGAATACACAGAAGGAAAAAAGGGCAGGCATTTTTCTTGTGACCCATGGAAAAATACAAAAACATTAGTGGTTTTATTTTTTCAATAAATTTTAAAACTATTAATCAGCTTATATAGATATAAAGAAAAATTAGTTGAAACATTTTTTCTTTAAAAGAAATGCCAATCTTCACTTTCCAGGACAGTAGTAGCACTTTAGCCAGCACATCAAGATGTTATCCACTAGCTTCTATCCATCAGTCATATCCATGAATTGTTATATCCATTGTTAGTGATATACACAACAGTATCCAGTTTATTCTACTTATCAGCTATATCCATTGGAGCTAAAGCAATTCTAAGAATTGGCTAGGAACAATATTTTTCACCACATTAAATGAACACACAATCACAAACTGCTAGTTAATTGGATGATGATGATGTAAAGCTTGTATGAATACGTAGAGTACAGTTAGAAAAGAAAACTTGTACTTCAAAAAATCATGAAGTAGAATTATTAGAGCTCCACTCTGAATAACACAAGTAGTAATTTAGTGTTGAGGGAATGCTACTTTTTTTTTTATAATTATTGCAGTATTCTAGGTGAATTGTCGTATTTGCAATAATGCTTTGATGAGCTTAAGCTGGGGCCACACGTTCTTTGATAGAGAGCCATTAATTCACTCCAGCTGCTAATCCAACTCTGGGTGTAAGCTGTAAACAGCTGCAGGAGCTGTTTGCCTTAAGTCAGGTTGTACAAAAGCTGTGTGACTTCAGTCAGGTTGTACAAAAGCTGTGTGACTTAAGTCATGTTGTACAAAAGCTGTGTGACTTCAGACAGGTTGTACAAAAGCTGTGTGACTTAAGTCATGTTGTACAAAAGCTGTGTGACTTCAGACAGGTTGTACAAAAGCTGTGTGACTTCAGTCAGGTTGTACAAAAGCTGTGTGACTTAAGTCAGGTCTGTACAAAAGCTGTGTGACTTTAGGTTGTACAAAAGCTGTGTGACTCCAGTCAGGTTGTACAAAAGCTGTGTGACTTTAGGTTGTACAAAAGCTGTGTGACTTAAGTCAGGTTGTACAAAAGCTGTGTGACTTTCATCAGGTTGTACAAAAGCTGTGTGACTTCAGTCAGGTTGTACAAAAGCTGTGTGACTCCAGTCAGGTTGTACAAAAGCTGTGTGACTCCAGTCAGGTTGTACAAAAGCTGTGTGACTCCAGTCAGGTTGTACAAAAGCTGTGTGACTTTAGTCAGGTTGTACAAAAGCTGTGTGACTTAAGTCAGGTCTGTACAAAAGCTGTGTGACTTTAGGTTGTACAAAAGCTGTGTGACTTAAGTCAGGTTGTACAAAAGCTGTGTGACTTCAGTCAGGTTGTACAAAAGCTGTGTGACTTCAGGTTGTACAACAGCTGTGCTTCTGTATGTGTCATGGAAGTACTGACACAGGTCCAAGTCCCATGTCACTGAGACTATCCACACAGAAGATTAGGTTGATCCTTCATTACCAGGGGCATACCCTCTCAGTTGTAATTGATCCATAGATGACATTCAGACTGGTCACTGATCAAATAATCCTCTCAGTGATATCAGAATCACTACTGAAAGCTCACTGTCCAAAGAAACTAGTCAGTGATCACAGCATCATCCTCCACAGGTCAGGGACCAAAGAACTGATCTTGACTGGTCAGTTAGCAAATAATTAGATCAAAGAATGGTCTCTGATTGGCCAGCTATGACGTCAACGAGCAGGACGTCATGGCCAAACCTTCATGCGCTGGTCTCAGACTGGCCGGGGGCGGGGGCCGGGACATGGGAGCTGGAGGAGGCCGCCACCAGGTTGCCCAGCTGACCAGTGGAGCTGGACTGGCTGCTGACGGGGTGGGGCTGCAGGCCGCTCATCATCTGGTGGTTGACCAGCGAGGCCATGTTGATGCCGGACCCCTGGGTGGACATGCCTGCTCCGGCGCCAAAAGTGCCCATGGAGTTGGGGACCGAGGTCTGGAGCCCCATCCCGGAGCCGTTGAAGAGTAGCCCGTTGCTGCTGATGTTGGTGTTGGTGGTGCTGATGAGGTTGACCAGGTTTCCGCCGTTGTTGCCGCTGTTCACGCTCATCAATCCTGACATCATGCCGGCGTTGCTGGTGGCTGCTCCGCTGCTGCTGGCTCCGCCGTTCAATCCGCCGAGGGCGGCAGATGTCGGCACTAAGCTAGAGTGGTAGGGGTGGTGGATCAGGGTGGGTCTTTGGCGCTGGTTAGCGGGCAGAGAGAGGGTGTGGCTGTGTCCCGGTCCGGCAGGGTGACCCAACCCGTTGTTTTTGTTGATGCCCAATAGCCTGGGGGGCTGGTAGGGAGGGGGAGGGTAGTCCTCAAACATGTAAGGGACACCACGCATGTTGGTCACCTCCTTCGGCTGAGCCATGTGTGCTTGATGCTGGTGGTGCATGTGGCCGTGTGGGTGGTGGTGGCCGTGAGGGTGGTGACCGTGAACTGACCTCAGGGTCCGCATGTGGACGCCACCATTGGCCAGCCCCGTGTTTATACTCTCATAGCTCCTCCTCTCTGGAATAACCTCGTAGTAATTCTCAGAACTGCTTTGGCTATACTCAGCCTGTTCCCTGTCAGACAATGATGGATTCACATAGAAGATATCATCCTGTGTCATAGTTGCCTGAGACGACGTCACCGACCCTCCTTTACCCTTGGCCGCGTTCTTCATCCCCATAAACCACAGGCCGAAGAAGACGGCGGCCAAGATGAGGCCGAGGCCGGCAACAATTCCCAGCGAAATGGAGAGGTATTTATAGACATCCTGGCTGGACGATGGCTCCTGGCTGTTGTCCAGGTACCTGATGTAAGAGTTCCAACCAGAGGAGGGTTCCAGTGGGTCGTCCTCACACTCTCCATAGTAGCCTGTGGTCACACAAGAAACAAAGACAATCTCAGTTAAAAATTGAATCAACTTAAATTACTTTTTTTAAAAACCTAATAAAACAGTAAATACTATTAGACAATAAAATTAGAATAAAATACTATTAGAAAAAAAAACAAAGAAACATCTAATAAAATTATAATAAAAATCGTTTTAAAATTTAATATCATTACAAAGTACTGCTAAAATGTTTAATTTAACTTTAAAAAATACTTTTATAAAAATTTAATTTAATTACAATGAAATACTGATGGAAAATTAAAATAAAATAGTGTATACTATCCAAAGAACTTAATTTTAACAAAAAATGTTTAAATTCAGATTAAATTACTAGTAGTCTTGGAAAAATCTAATAAAAATCTTCAATAAATTTGTATCTGCATATTTGAATTAAATAACCATGGACCAAAAAATATATATGAGAATTTATGGTACTAAACAACATTTAGAAATTTTGTTTATAATTTATAATGTAAATATCAATAACACTAGCAAAGTAACTGACCAGTAATGTTAAAGACATAGTTCAGGTTGAGTGGTCCAGCCTTGTCGCAGCGACTGATGGCAAAGAACCAGGTCCTGGGGACAGATGACCTGAAGATTCTCTCCCCCAGGCAGACGTAGAAGGCTTCACCTGTCTCGTTCCACAGCGTGCAGCCACTGGTGTCATTGCTGGCACGGAGTGGGATCACCTGGACATAGAATGGCATGGGTTAGTGGGGGATGAGTAGAGAAACATCAAGTCACTGGACACAGAATGACATAGGTTAGTGGGAGGATCAAAACAGTATACTAATTATAAGTTTCAGCCAAGCAAACATTGGTTCCTTATATAGCCAGGCGCGATCCAAACACTATACACCCCACTCAAGGAAAAACTATATGGGGCACTTGCGGATCTGGAGACCACAGTCCAGTTCATACATGAAGCTAGACTTGTTTAAATCCTCCACCATAAACCAAATTAAGAACACAGAAGAAGAAGGTATTTTTTTAATTATTGAAGTTGGCTTTAAAATTTTAAATGTGTAGGATACTAACTTTTTTATTTTTATTTTTGAATTGTGAAAGCTAGCTCTAAAATTCAGTTGGGTCGTGATTAATATCCCTCAAAATGGCAAAAATGTGTGTGCATAATGTATTTTGTAAGTGCTGAGCTCTCAAATGATTTTACTAGGTAATATGAATTTTGCATCATGCCTGTGGGGTAGGTTTTTAACAACTTGGCAAAAACATGGCTTACATTGAATGTTGTTGGTGCTATCAAATAGGATGTTTTATGCGCAGAATGTGTTTTTACAAGCTCTACATTTTAAGAGAACCCCCACAGGTAATGAGGTATGATAGCAACATTTTTCTTTAAACTGTTGAATTATCTGTGTGGAATAATTTTGCACATTTAAAATAGTTTCTAGCTAACTGCAATAGAATTATCTCATATAAGTGTGCATATTTGGGATTACAGGTGTATTATGTATGTACGAGATGTTTTGTAAATATACACGAAACACACAGACAACACGCTGTGTTACCTGATTGACGCACAGACAACATGCTGTGTTACCTGATTGACACACAGACAACACGCTGTGTTACCAGATTGACACACAGACAACACGCTGTGTTACCTGATTGACACACAGACAACACGCTGTGTTACCTGATTGACACACAGACAACACGCTGTGTTACCTGATTGACACACAGACAACACGCTGTGTTACCTGATTATTGTCAGCTGGGAGGACTGCCAACCTCTCCTCACAGGTCATGGATGAGTGCAGCTGTTTGACCTGGTCGTCGTAGTAGATGAGCAGGTTGGCGCAGCACTCCTTCACTGGGTAGGTGATCTGGTACTGGATCTTGGCGTAGTCGCGGTGGAAGGCTTTGTGGACTATATATCCATACCAGCTGTGAGGGGATGAAGGTATTGGTCATTCAGTTATCACATGGCCACAATATAAAGTAAAGTACCCCTTCTAATCCTGACGGTCTATGGGCAAGTGAAGTAGAGTTCACCTGTTTCTGTCTTCTTCTTCTTCTTCGTTCTTAATTATTAGTGTTGAAGGGGATCGAGATTTATCTGCCAGTGGGTTTGAACTCGAGACTTTGTTCGAATTTATCAACCATGAGCTTTTTGCCGACTCGACCACGCCTCCAACACAATTAAGCGTTACGTGTCAACTGGTTATGCGCCATTTAGGCCATTGACTCCGATTTCAGCCTGCTTTTCTTTTTGGGTTTGCTTCCATAGCCTTTGTCCAACCAAGAACAAACTACAAGGCAGCAGTTGTTTAATTTTGGAGTTGTCTCTCCTAGAAGAGTGGCTGTCCCCAGCTAACGAGCCTCATCTGTCCGAGGGTTCGAACTCGAGACTTTTCGGTTTAGCAACCATGAGCTTTTACCGACTCGACCACGCCGACCCCCTACCTGTTTCTGTAACCTCAGCATATGAAGGAATAGTGTGGTAAGCACTATGCCCAGCAGCCTTTACTTTTTTAACGGAAGTTAGGTACCCATCAGAGCTGGGTGGACTCAGGGACAGCCTACTTACATTAACCTGGATTCAAACTCAAGGCTTACAGGCTAGCACTCTACCACTTAACCAGTCCAACCCCTGCCACAATATAGGATATTACTAAAATATGAACAGGACAACATGAACTATGTCACACATAAATAGGATACTACTGGGTTTTGGTAATCAGCAAAGAGTTTAACATAGGAAGTGACAAAAGAGACGTTTCTACCAAGGGGAAATGAAGGCTTTAGTGGTGCCGAGTGGTAGGCTCTAAACCTGTCTAGTAAAAACTACTCTGACTTTACTCAGACTATATTCTGTACATGTGTCTACCCTTGGCGTTGTAATAACACTCTTAGGTCACAATATAAACTTTTCAACATTATAAAGTTCACAAAACCGAATAGGCTATCCAACTTGGTTTTGTTTAATACACTTATTTTAAAAATTAACTTATAAATATTTTAACATTAAAATGCAATACGCCATTTCTAATTTGAGGAACACTGACCAGTACTTGGTTTGATTTTAACTAAAGTGCAACTGAAATACTTTCAGAACTAAGCTCTTCAATTAGATATTCCAGAACAGGCTTTCAAAAAGTAAATCTGATAGAAATAATGAAAGCAGATTTTTATTTTATGGCGCCTGATGAAAGAAAGAAAAGCCATGTTCACACCCAGGTCCCTATAGAACACTTTATTTACTATGCATACTAACTAGCAAGATCAAACAGAAAAAAATCAATCGCTGCTACCATTAATTTGGCTCCAACACATTTAATCCATTTCGGCCATTTATATTACCAATTTTTTATGTAGTGTTGTGAAGGGTTTATGCAAGATGTATAGTGTAAAAAAACTATTCACATTTTAGTTGAAAATCCATAGTTTAAAATTAGTCGTAAGTTCTATTTACATTTGATGCAGATTTCTACTTAAACTTAGAATAACTAATATTTACCACTGAATCTTAGATTAATCCCACCAATATCTGCAAATTAAATCTTAAAATAGTTCTTGAAATCTCTGCCACATAGTCATATAATAATCCAACCAATATCTGCCATTCAACGTTATTATTAATATTTTGCAATTTAAGCTTTGGAATAACACTACTAATTTCTGCCACCTAATCATAAAATAATACCACCAATTTTTGAAAGTTGACTAATCATAGAACAGTCCTACCCCTTTATTAATCATTCGTAAAGTAATCATAAAGAATCCTACCCATATATTTCAATTAATCATAGAATAATCCCAATCATATCTCTAAAATAATCACACCCATATCTCTAAAAGCATAATCCAACCAATGGACTTACTTCCTCTGTGTGAAAACCCTGCCCTTGACCGTACACACGCCCTGTGTGCTGTCCGATGTTGTGATGGCCTGGGTTTGAACCCCCACCAGCACCACCAGTGTCCTGATTACCACAGAGAACAAGGTGGGTCGACCTTGACCCTGATTCCCCATTGTGAGCACTGATCTGATCAAGGTGTGGATATCACAGCTTTGACACTGGCAATCTGTAGAGAGACAAGGGTGGTGGATTAAAGAATAATGCACTTAAAAATATGGCTCACATGATTTTATGTTCAGCTTGTTCAATATATTATTTATCAGTTGGTGTGTGTAAGTGTGGTGGGGGATGAAAGAAAAATGCTATTAATTATGTTATGGGGGGGTGAAAGAAAAATGCTATTAATTATGTTATGGGGGGGTGAAAGAAAAATGCTATTAATTATGTTATGGGGGGGTGAAAGAAAAATGCTATTAATTATGTTAAAATTATTTTATAAATTAAATTCTCAAGCTGAATTTAATAGTGTTTTTATGTGTGCATTTTTTAAAATCTTAAGTTTCACATAAATCAATAAACCTCAAGTACTAATTAAAAGATGTGCATTTGAATTTAATAGTGTTTTATGTGTGCATTTTTTACAATCTAAAGTTTCACATAAATCAATAAACCTCAAGTACTAATTAAAAGATGTGCATTTGAATTTAATAGTGTTTTTATGTGTGCATTTTTTACAATCTAAAGTTTCACATAAATCAATAAACCTCAAGTACTAATTAAAAGATGTGCAAAATCAATTATTGTAAGTAAGATTTGCAATTTAAAATAAAACATACTTGGGTTATTTTTTTCTAAATATTTTCAAATCACTTAAAATTACTTCAAGAAAAGCACTGAATATTTACACACATTTCTACCTTACATAAGAACAAAGTTTTAATTGTGAACAGTCCTCCATGTAAAGTAAGTGCATGTAAAACACATTAGCATGCTGCTAGATCTCTTTAAGTTAATAACCTCACTAAATCTATGAATTTCATCCAAATGGAGTTCATTGAAATAAATTTCAAGCGAAAGAAAAAAAAAGAGAACCTTTCAGTTTTAACGATCAATAACTAATTAAATGAAATAACATGTAGCCTGAAGCAAAGCATTTGTTTTACAGAAAAAAAAAAATTGCACCGCGAACACTATACCCTTGACAACCCTTTGCGATGTTAGAGATGAGAATCTTTAAACAGCCCATGTTTTTCCATTAGGTGTGTCTTTATGGGGGCTTGTTTGATCTCAATACATGAAATTATCTCTTCATTAAATCTGCTGTGGTAAAAAGAAATATCCTGGAGATGTTGCAAGCAGATTGGTGCACTCATTAGCACAAGAACATGTTTTAAGCTATCAGGGAATCTTTGGCCAGGTTCATTGATGGTTAATCTGTGTACTGGGTGAAGAATTCATTCCTGGATGGCACAATTTAGGCTTTAGTTAATAGAAGCTTTCATTCCTAGATGGTTCAATATTGGATAATGTTGGGTGAAGCCTTGATTCCTAGATGGTTCAATGTTAGCCAATGGTAAGTGAAGTTATGATTCTTAGATTGTTCAATCTTGGCTAATTTCTTAGATGGTTCAATAAAATGTTGGATAATGTTGGTTGAAGCTTTTATTCCTACATATTTAAAATGTATATAATGTAGTGTAAGGTTTTAATTCCTAGATGGTTCAATATTGGATAAAGCTTGTGGAATTCCATTGGAACAGATAAATACCATAATCTCCAGGTCTGACCATCCCTTTACTTATATTTACTACACTGTAGTCCAATCCAGTCCATCACCAATGGATATAGTGTTCTAAAGCCGTACATTTACACTGTTTTTACAATTGCAACATGAATACTATACATGTCAAATGGAAAAAACCTTGCAGCAAGGAAGTATACAAGTTCAGTGGTGAAAATGTTTTCAAATATTATTAACTTTCTGCTAGTTTTTTCCTAGACATGGAGAGTATAAATGAGGCAAGCGTAAACAGTGTAAGGGTATTGCTAATTGATTAGAAATTTAATATATTACTCTTGGTTTACAAATAAGAATAATTAACTAAAGCAATAGAGAAGAAAAAAAAAATACCACTATAGGTATGCTATGTATCACTGGATGAATGGCACAACTATCAAACTGACAACAGACTGATAATTCAGATGATACAGTTATCACTAAGCTCATTAGCAGCAGCAAGACTTGTTTCACCACAGGCCATTAATATTCCCTGCTATGTGTCTTGTTTACTTAATGATACATGCTAAATATCAGTGTTGATAACGTGACATGACACTGGAAGGATACACCTATTTGGGGATTCCCTATTTTTTTTTTTACATACTGACTAAAACTAATTAATGTAATTAATTATGGTTTTATTTTAGCGAAGGAAGGGGTAGATTGGAAAAATGAAGTTGTTGATTCCAGAAGTAAGGTAAAGGAGGGGTAAGGTGTAGAGCATAATTTTCAGGTATTTATGAAGGGTGGGAGTGGGTGTAGAGTGGTATAATATAACAATTAGTGTCTCAAGAAAGCTGAGGAGTGGGGTTAAGTGGTTGAGCTTAATCATCAGATGTTTAAGAAAAATGAATCACTTAGGTTAGCAAACTGGAGGAACAGTTTAGCATTATACTGATCACACAATTCTTACATTTTTGTGGGAAAAGATGATCAATTTCATAAAAAGCATGGAAAATACACAATTGATATTTTTTTTCTAATAGAAACTCAACTTACCAAAATAAATTCATCTAGAAGAAAAAAGTAATATCCAATGAAATGTGGAAACTGGTTTTAGAAGTAGATAACCTTGAAACATTGACCTAAATTAATTTCATCCAGAACCTGAAACAATAAAAAAACAATATTTTTTAATTAATGTTATACAAGAATAGGTGGTAAATCAAAAAAAATGTCTGAGTTTTATGAAAGTTTGGCTGTCACAGGTTGATTATGTCTGTGAGACAAATTAAATTGTCAGAAACTCACAGGGGTAGAGGAAACACTTCCAGGTGTCACAGTCAGGTAATCAAATGTAACCAGCAGCTCAATGAATTCCAGGCTAATGGAGGTGTGGGTGGCAGGTACAACAGGTATGTCTTACCACCAGGGGAGGTAAGAAAAATACCAAACACTGAAGAAGGGGAGTTGAGGAACCTGAATGGGGCATTTTTTGCTTGCAGGTTAAGACCATGATGTGTGGTGGGTTGGGGGAGGGAGAGGGGCTAAAACACAGCTGAGCAGGAGGGTAAACAGACTGGTGGACAAACACAGGGGGATGTGTCAACACCAGGGGACAGCTGCTGGATTGCTCAGACTGTCCAACTGCTAGGAGGGGGGAACAGAGGGGGAGGGGGGCTGAGATAAGGAAAGGTGGTGGGTGGAAATATAAACTTAGCACAACTCAAACCCCCTATCACAAAAGACTTGGTCAAATATTTGCTTAACATGACAATCTAGGGAAGTAGATATTTGTGAAATAGGGGAAATAGTGTTTTCTTAAAGTAGCAAAAATGTTACACCTGTGGGGGAGGGGGGGGGGGGATCCTGACACCCTCCCCACCACCAGTGGCTTAAATACATTGAGATAGAAAAGAACTTTAAATGAACATCTTAGGAATATAAACAGAGGTTTCTAAAGTAAACAAAGTTGATAAAAACCCAACACATTCTTCATCATCTTATCTTTATTCAAACAGTGTCTAAAGGGTGGTAGATTTTTACTGGCTTTTGGTGTAGCATTGTGTTGTTGGTAGTAGCAATATTTGACATATAGATCCATGTAGTGTTTTAAATACTATTTGAATACCTTAAATAATAAGGGTAAGATCTGGCATCAAAATTCAATTTAAGTTAGGATTTACTGTCATCACATGTTTAACTCCTAGAGTTTGAGTAGTTACATGAGGAGAGCGGGGGGGGGGGGGGGGGTTGAAACTGTATTGATTGTTATTTTGTTATTCATACCAACATCACCAATGCTAAGGGTAAGACTAAGAGTGTGGTTGAATCACGTCAAGTAAGCCCATGCCCCATTAGAGTTTCAGATTTAAAACAATTGTAACTTAAATTGCTGGATTTCTAAACATTGCTTTAGACTTTAGTGTATACTAGATCTAGTCACTAGATCTAGAATTTAACCTAGCTAGATCTAGATTAATTTAATTAAAAAAAAATTATAGTAAAAAAAAAATATTTAGAAAACGGGCCGTTGTGATGTCCTTAGACTTTACTTTTAGACCTTACGTCTAGCTAGCTAATACATCTCTAGACTAGATCTAGATCTAGATTCTAGATTAAACTACGCTATCATTATCCAATGACTAGACCTTATCTGCCCCACCATCGTACGCCTCACATTACTGAATTTAATATTAATGCCAGCCTGTTGTTATCGCCTTGTACCCCCAACAGTTGGGATAGGCGGAGCTAACCGGCGCCCCACGGCCTGCCTGGGTGTTTATGTAAACAGCGCTCCCCATTACCAAATGTCAACAAACACGTTCGACAATGACAAAGCGAACGAAAACATGACGCATGACATGTAAAAAACATGAGGCTATGCCATAACGATGTATGTATGTCAAGGCCTGCGTTTAGTTAGAATTCTTTTATCACAGCTTTGTGTTACCTAATTTGTAATCCGGAAGCTGCCTCGCTGTTTTAGGCCAAAGATAACTCGATCACTAGAGAGTGCCGAGTTTTAAAACGAGGCCGTGCACAGAAAAAAAAAACGATGTGTTGCTGATTAAAACGGAACAAATTCTTCGGGTATTTAACAGGCAATGGATGGGGGGGGGGGGGGGTGAACAAGAGAAAAAGATGGAAGGCACAGGAAACCCCGGAGCTATAATTATCTCAACCGATACTGGAACTTTGCTGGAACTGTGGAGCTGAATCATCTGATATTAGAGCTATGGGGTGTGGGTGAGGGTTGGTAAAGGGGGTAGTGCGAGTTAAGGGGGATGAACGTTGATGGTGGGGAGTATCAAGGTTTTCAGGAGGGGGAGGGGAGGGTTAACACCAAATAATGACAGTTTCAAACACCACTCGTCCACCACTGTTTGAAATATCAGGCCAACGTCAACCCAAATCCCCGAACCACCCCCTCACCCCCACCCCCAGCTCTCGTCACCACGACCAGAGAATCGTTAAAATTGATATTTCCTTAGTGAGACAGAGGGGGGGGGATCCTATTTTGTTTTTCTATCACTATAATAGGACAAGATGACAGAGTACTGATGACAAGCCCGTCAATCTTACACATCATTACATTACTAATACAAGAAGCCAATCTTATACATCATTACATTACTAATACAAGAAGGAAATCTTATAAATCATTACATTACTAATACAAGACGGAAATCTTATACATCATTACATTACTAATACAAGACGGAAATCTTACACATGATTACATTATTAATACAAGACGGAAATCTTACACATCATTACATTACTAATGCAAGCTGGTGACGTGTCAACTTGTTAGGTGCTATATAGGTTTGGTTATAGTAAGTGGAGGGGTGTAGTGGGGCTGTGTGAGGATGTGTGATGTGGGAAAGGGGGAGGTGTAAATTATGTCTTCAGAGAGTCAAATAACCGTTAACCTGGTCGTTTTTAAGACATTGCAAACTATGGCCGGTGCCTTATGGAGTGGCCACTTATTTCTAACTTAAACATGTCTTTTCAATGTGCGACTTATTGCATACGAAAAGTCAGCTAGATGTTTTAAAGCCTATATGGTTCAATTACCCTTTTTGAAACAAGGGATCTTCGTCCATGATCTTCTCACCAATGATGTGGTTATCACATAGACCCTTACCCCCATCTCATATTTGGGTTGCTTTGATATGGCCGTGATGTCCTGACCAACATCCTTTCATACACTACACACATAACTGTATGTTGATAACCAACCACAACAATTACAACTCTAACATGGACCCAAACATTGCCACTATAACATGACCCAAAAATTGCCACTATAACATGAGCCAAAAGTTGCCACTATAACATGAGCCAAAAATTGCAACTATAACATGACCCAAAAATTGCAACTATTACATGAGCCAAAAATTGCCATTATAACATAAGCCAACAATTGCAACTATTACATCAGCCAAAAATTGCAACTATAACATGACCCAAAAATTGCCATTATAACATCATAAGCCAAAAATTGCAACTATTACATCAGCCAAAAATTGCAACTATTACATCAGCCAAAATTTGCAACTATAACAAATGCCAAGGACGGCATTTTATGTATGAAATTAAATACAGCAATTAAAAGAATGCCTGTAGCTAGCTGTGCGGGGTGGTATGGGCGATAACTTAATTAAGAGGAATGGATCCTGACGCAGGTTGCGGCCCTTTGTTCCAGCTTTTATTGCGGTAATAGAAAATGATGGCGAGCAAAGGGTGCTTCACATCAGAGATCATAAAACTTGTCCGTTGTGTGAACTACACAATGAGTAGAGATGGGAAGAGAGTGTGTGAAGAGAGAGAGAGAGAGAAAGAGCGAGGGAGAGATGGATGGAGAGAGCTTTGCATGTCAGCATACATCTTGTCCATATATCTTGCCCGAAGGAGTAGGAGAGGGAGAGAGAGAGAGAGCGATTCACATCAACCTGCAAACAACTGTGTGCTGTGTAAATGACACATCCTCCTTTCAACAGTCACCACCGAAAGGACCTTGTTGGAGTTTGTTTTTGCATGCACGAAGCAGTTGATTAGCTGAATGAGAAGACCTAATCCTAACACTAAGACTAAAACAGTCGAATAAAAAAAAAGAAACAGCCATTGAATAATACTTTCTTGCTCTGTCCACGACTATTTAAATAATAATTAAATTTTAGCAATTAATTAAAAAGGCAGCTAATTTGTGTGTTTAGTCATATAAATAGTATTTGACCAGTGTATCTTACAACAGCTTCAGCCTTCTTAGACAAAATAACATAATTTCAATAATTTCAACATAACAGTGTTGTCTTAACTCCACATAACCTTTAACCTTAAATTACATCCACAACACGGTCATTACATAAAAAAAAATATGTAATACGATAATCCACCTTTCGTGTCAAATAAAAACAGATAATTTACACTTACAAAAAATCTAACAATACACCCACAGACGTCATAAATATAAGATACATACAAAAAATACCATAACTACCAGCTCATACGTCACAAGTATACCCCCAAAGGTCACGTGGTCGAGACGGCTGACCAAGCCTGACAGTCCACGCGAGCCGGCACTTAGACGAATGTGTGACCGGCACGCTCCCGGACCCGGCATTTCTCCCCTGGCCTTTGATCTCGACCAGGTAATTAGGGGGGAAAAAAACTTCGGTAGGAATTTTACTCGGACTCGACAAAATGTCTCCCGTCAGAGGACCCCGGCGAATAGCGGGCATACCGGGAGTTAGGGGGGAGCTTAGTCGACGTGGGGGTGACGGGAGTTGGAGGGGAGCTTAGTCGACGTGGGGGTGACGGGAGTTGGAGGGGAGCTTAGTCGACGTGGGGGTGACGTGAGTTAAAGGGGAGCTTAGTCGACGTGGGGGTGACGTGAGTTAGAGGGGAGCTTAGTCGACGTGGGGGTGACGTGAGTTAAAGGGGAGCTTAGTCGACGTGGGGGTGACGTGAGTTAAAGGGGAGCTTAGTCGACGTGGGGGTGACGTGAGTTAGAGGGGAGCTTAGTCGACGTGGGGGTGACGTGAGTTAAAGGGGAGCTTAGTCGACGTGGGGGTGACGTGAGTTAAAGGGGAGCTTAGTCGACGTGGGGGTGACGTGAGTTAGAGGGGAGCTTAGTCGACGTGGGGGTGACGTGAGTTAAA